TTACTGAGGTATTGATTGAAGTTGTTCTTTAATGAATCCAAAGCATTTATCCTTGAGCCCATCAGGATTTGATGATGGTTCAGGGATTTAACAGGACCCATATGGGTTTTTGTACCTCTCTCTGATGTAGAACTCAATCAAGGCAATCAGTCTGACAACACAGAGAGAGTCAAGTTGTCAAAGGCAGTTGTAAATCAATGGGCTCTTGACAGAGTGTTATATCACACCTCGGGATAATGTCACTAAAAGGTATTATAAGGTGAAAATGAGAAGTAAATGAATAGTAAATCCTTGGGGAATGTTCAGAAATCACACAACACTAGGTTATAGTCCAACAGGCTTATTTGAAAACACTAGCTTTCAGAGCCTTGTTCCTTCTTCAGGTGTCAGTGAGAGAGGTAGTATCAGATACAGAATTTATATGTAAAAGATCAAAGGGTCACACCACTGATGAGGACATATAAAACAAACCTAAGATGCTGGTAAATCTTTAATCAGTTAGATTTTAATTGATTAATATGTATATGTAAATCCCTGAATTCCTTTCAAGTCACTGTCCTGAGAGAACTTAAAGCGAAAGGCCTGTTTCCACACTGTAGGGATTCTATGATGATTATCCATGTAAAGAAGAGGTGACATTTTAGGTCAGACAATGCATGTTAGGTGTGAGGCCTTGTTTAGAATCTGTTTGTGTTTTGGTTTGGAGTCAGACTGGTTTATTTGTAAAGTAGGAATTAATAAAACACCACAAACAATTTAAGCATATTATCAGGGTCTAGGCCCGAAACGTCAGCCTCTCTGCTCCTATGATGCTGCTTGGCCTGCTGTGTTCATCCAGCCCTGCACCTTGTTGTCTCGGATTCTCCAGCATCTGCAGTTCCTACTATCTCTTATCTAGATGAGTGTTTTTTTTTAACAAATCCAAGCTGGCTGTCTGTGATTATCCTCATTTCCAAATGTATGTTTATTTTGTCCCTGATGATAGCTTTTACTAAGCTCTTTTCTGATGATGTTAGGCTGACTGACCTGCAGTTTCTTAGTTTAACCCTTTTCCCTTTCTTGAATGAGAGTGTAACTTTCTCAACCCTACAGTTCCTTGGCACTGCTCCTGTATTCAATTAGGACAGAAAATATTCGATGGCTGATATTTGTATGTAGAATAAGGCAGCAAAAAGCTTTCAGTGACATACAAGTTTAATTGTAAATCTGTAGTTTAGCACAAACACCAGCTTCTACCTTTCTCTTCCAGACCCTTTCTTATACAGAAGCCGACACCTCTCCCCCTACCCACCCACACCTCCCCACCAACCCCACCCCCCCACTCCCCCGAGATGACGGCAGGGACCTCTAACTTCTCCACCACCACCACCAGGGAGGAATCCAGCTCTTTTTTGGAAGATAAACCTGCAGGAAACAAGCTTTTGTTTTCATTTTAAAAGCCCATAACCCAATTACCTGAATATCTAATGACCAAATCAGGAGCACTGTCACAATAACAAAAAAAGGGGAATCTAAATCAAAGTGGAGTTAGTGGAGAAATGATGCACCACAGCCCCCATCTGCCTCCAAAAGTCTTTATGGGATGAAACCAGTTTTATTAAAATCAACATCTTCAGACATGTTATATCACCCAACTGAGGTATTGGAAGCTTGAGCCCAGACTTCTTGGCTCAGAGGCAGGGGCAATACCATTGACACTAATCTACCACGTAGCAACAAGAGCACCTTTGGAACCAAGCTTTTCTTTTTAATATCGACACATGAAGTCCTCCCAATAATGCATTATAACTCTCATGATGCCTAACTCTCTCTAAAAGCACCGAGAGTGCTGGTAGACAATGTATGCTGCCTCTCCAAGGTCAATCAGGCAAACTGCAGAAGACAGATAGGTAGTTGGTGACTATGACTCCGACAATTGCCTGCTGTGTAGACCTGATCATGATAACTTTAGCTGGGCTCCAGAAACCAGCTTTTTATTTTCTTTAAACCATTGCCAATCATCCCTGTTGCAGAACCCAGCTCTTTTCTTCCCTACCCAGAGATGCTTTTATGTACTTCTGAATTGTTTGCTACCAACACCAAATCACCCGTGAAACCTTTTTAAAAACATTTTACTCCACCACCAAATCACCTGTGTTTCTAATTAAACAAAGCATTTACAAGAACTGCCCATTAGGGACAGTGCAACAACATCAAAAGTGAGGGAAAGGTAGGGAGGGCACTAAATTAAAATGGAGTTGGAGAATGAAGCAATGCACTTCACCCCCTATAGTGCCCGCCTCTCTCAAAAGGTATCAAGAGTGTTAGTGGATACCTGAGTGTGAACATAGCCATGGAAGACAGGCAGGGAGTTGGGATCCCTCCGCGGCCTTTGGCTGCACCTGTTGATGGCTACTTTAGCTTTTTTAAAAATTAATCCAGCAGCAAATCACCCATGTTGCAGAACCCAGCTCTTAAGTACGAAGTCTGTTTCACTCTGGGGCTGTTCTAGTTAATCTTTCAAAGGACCTACATTTCTAACATTGACAGAAAAAATGAGACCAATTCATCTGCTTTTGCTATCTTCTACAATACCATATTTCAATTCACCTATTCCATTCTGCTGAAGTTGGGTAGCCCCTCCACCTAGCACTTCTAACTTTAAAGTTTTCAGTGTTGTCTTTAAATCCCTTTGCAGCCATAAATTTTCCAGTCCAACATTTATCTTTGGTAACACTTAATTCCACAGTTTGAGACATTTTATGCAGCTCCTTTCCACTTACTCCACTTTTAGCATCACATCTTTCAGCTTTTTGGGTTATTTTATTTATTTCAATTCCCTTCCTCAAACTCTCTGTTTCTCTATCTCTAACTATGCATCATTTAACAATCTTCTGAAAACTAATTTCTTCCACTAGGTTTTTCCCCTCACCCTTTCTAAATTTCTTACTTACAAATCCATGTTTGAGTCTCAATCTATCTCTGTTTGAGATGCCTGAGAACTCTATTATCACATGAAAAATACATAACAAACGAAACTGTAAAATATAAAATTGAATCAGCGATAGCAGGAACTGCAGATGCTGGAGGATCCGAGACAACAAGGTGCAGAGCTAGATGAACACAGCAGGCTAAGCAGCATCATAGGAGCAGAAAGGCTGACGTTTCGGGCCTAGACCCTTCATCAGAAATGGGGGAGGTGGGGGGGAAGGGGGTTCTGAAATAAATAGGGAGAGAGGGGGAGGCGGATAGAAGATGGATAGAGGAGAAGATAGGTGGAGAGGAAACAGACAGGTTGAAGAGGCGGGGATGGAGCCAGTAAAGGTGAGTGTAGGTGGGGAGTTGGGGAGGGGATAGGTCAGTCCAGGGAGGACGGACAGGTCAAGGGGGCGGGATGAGGTTGGTAGGTAGGAAATGGGGGTGCGGCTTGAGGTGGGAGGAAGAACAGGTTAGGGAGGCGGGGACGAGCTTGGCTGGTTTTGGGATGCGGTAGGGGGAGGGGAGATTTTGAAGCTTGTGAAATCCACATTGATACCATTGGGCTGCAGGGTTCCCAAGCAGAATATGAGTTGCTGTTCCTGCAACCTTCGGGTGGCATCGTTGTGGCACTGCAGGAGGCCCAGGACGGACATGTCGTCTGAGGAATAGGAGGGGGAGTTGAAATGGTTCGCGACTGGGAGGTGCAGTTGTTTATTGCGAACCAAGCGTAGGTGTTCTGCAAAGCGGTCCCCGAGCCTCCGCTTGGTTTCCCCGAGGTAGAGGAGGCCACACCGGGTACAGCGGATGCAGTATACCACATTGGCAGATGTGCAGGTGAACATCTGCTTGATGTGGAAAGTCTTCTTGGGGCCTGGGATGGGGGTGAGGGAGGAGGTATGGGGGCAGGTGTAGCACTTCCTGCGGTTGCAGGGAAAAGTGCCGGGTGTGGTGGAGCTGGAGGGGAGTGTGGAGCGGACAAGGGAGTCACGGAGAGAGTGTTCCCTCCGGAAAGCAGATAAGGGTGGGGAGGGAAAGATGTCTTTGGTGGTGGGGTCGGATTGCAGATGGCGGAAGTGTTGGAGGATGATGCGTTAGATCCGGAGGTTGGTGGGGTGGTACGTGAGGACGAGGGGAATTCTTTTTTGGTTGTTATTGCGGGGACAGGTTGTGAGGGATGAGTTGCGGGAAATGTGGGAGACACAGTTGAGGGCGTTCTCAACCACTGAGGGGGGGAAGTTGCGGTCCTTGAAAAACGAGGACATCTGAGATGTACGGGAGTGGAATGCCTCATCCTGGGAGCAGATGCGGCGGAGGCGAGGATTTCCAATTCCCAAAACCAGCCAAGCTCGTCCCCGCCTCCCTAACCTGTTCTTCGTCCCACCTATCCCCTCCTCCCACCTCAAGCCGCACCCCCATCTCCTACCGACCAACCTCATCCCGCCCCCTTGACCTGTCCGTCCTCCCTGGACTGACCTATCCCCTCCCTAACTCCCCACGTACACTCACCTTTACTGGCTCCATCCCCGCCTCTTCGACCTGTCTGTTTCCTCTCCACCTATCTTCTCCTCTATCCATCTTCTATCCGCCTCCCCCTCTCTCCCTGTTTATTTCAGAACCCCCTTCCCCTCCCCCATTTCTGATGAAGGGTCTAGGCCCGAAACGTCAGCCTTTCTGCTCCTGTGATGCTGCTTCGCCTGCTGTGTTCATCCAGCCCTGCACCTTGTGTAAAATATAAAGCTTTGATTGCATGACGAAAACCACGTGGTTTCTCTGGAAACCACACAATGGCAAAAAAACCATTTTGAAAATGTTATTGTATGCTTGTAATAACAAGCATTTATTGTGTTTGTCAACATATGTATTAATTAATTCCGTTATAGTAAAATTGAAATTTGTGATACAATTTCATAAGAAGTCCACTAAACTCTGTATTAAATTATCTAAATGTATGATTTTGCAATACATTTATACATTCCAATTATTATGTCATTAGTATTGAATTGTTGATTAAATTGATGCATTCATACAAGTTTTCAGGAATATGAATTGGAACAATTTTATTAATTTCATTGTTTTGCAAGAAGCTTTTTAAAGTGGGAAATAATATAGTTTTATTGATAAATTTCTATACACCAGTTCAGGCCTGACATTTATCAGGATTAGTACACTATTCATTTTAAAATAAGTTCCATATACAGATCATAATATTAAACAGCGATCCTTATAGGATTATCCTCCATACATTGGCAAATATATTTTCTTTTCCAAATAACAACTTGACAAACCTGGTAGAATTTGCCAAAACTATATTTATTTTGCAGCTGGTGCTGAAATGCTTTTTAATTTCAAAAACAACTTGAGGATGTCATGCCAGATGACTCCACTTTTCCAACTTCCAGGTTTAGCATCTAGGGGATTTTGTTGTACTAATGGGCACTAAACTGTAGAAGATACCATGATGCGCTGAGGATATCCGAGTTCTGTCTGATTTATGATATGACACATCCACCCTTCTCCTTGAAGGGATTTTTGTCCTCAGGGATTCCCTTTACCAAAGGATCTTCTGCAGATTGCGATTCAATGTAATCCTTCAGTTCCTCAGCACATTTAGACACCTGAAATAATACAATATAAAAGTTATAAGTGGCAAGTGTAAAATAGTGAGAGTAGAAATTAAACACAATAACCATAGTATACATGCAGAGAGCTGTCTCCTGACTTTGAGAATGGGATTTTTAAAAAATTCATTAAACAGGATGACGGTGTCACTGGCTAGGCAGTATTTATTGCCGATCCCTAATATCCCAGAGGGCAGTTCAGAGTCACCAACATTGCTGTGGGTCTGGAGCCACATGCAGGCCAGACCAGGTAAGGATGGCAGTTTCCTTCCCTAAAGGACATTATTGAACCAGGTAGGTTATTCCAACAATCAACAATGGATTCATGGTCATCATTAGATTCTTACTTCCAGATATTTTATTGAATTCAAATTCCACCATCTGCTGTGGCAGGATTTGAACCCAGGTCCAGAGACAGTTATCTGGGTCTCTGGATTAACAGTCCAGCGATACTACCACTAGGCCATCATCTCATTATTAGCATATTCTGTTCTATTGTTTCATACTTTGAATGCAGTGTTACAATTTCGAACAGATCCTACATTATCTCTAATTAGTGTTAATTCACAAAAAGTTAGTGGATTATAGGGGATGCCTTGTGGTAGCACCCCTGCCTCAAAAATCAGAAGCTCAGAGCTCAAGTCCCATTGTAATAATGGCTATGGAAAGTGTATCATAATGTGGCCAAACAGGTTGATTAACATCAAATCTTTCCAGTAAAAGCAGGGGAATCTCCTGGTCAGCCATGATTGATATGAAGTGTTGTCCCTCCCCAAGCTATAGTTTCTGGCAACAGTGTAGCAACTATTTTGGGGGAAAAGATAGCCACAGAAAGCACATAATTATGTGCTTTATCTGCCCTATGTTTTACTTGACATATGAAAGTCTAAGTGTAATTAGATTACAGATATAATTGAAGATTAAACATATTCTGGATTCTTGTGCAATTTGGTTGAATTTTAAGAGTGGCCTTTATTTTAAAAGGAGGAACAGGTGCATCACCATGCTGTGTCCTGATGGAAATGTACTCATCTGACTCAGCAGGTCTGGCAGCATCTCGGGAGAGAAATCAGAGTTAGCGTTTTAGGTCCAGTGACCCTTCCTCAGGCTTGCTGAGCTTTTCCAGCAATTTCTGTTTTTGTTTCTGATTTCCACCATCGACAGTTCTTTCATTTTCATTTTGTACTTATCAGACATTTGATTTGAAATCTTGATAATGCTTAATGACTTAGGACAGCAGTGGGTCATTTTGTTTTTACTTCAAGCGTTGTTCCCACTCACTCATCAGGCAGATCCAAAGCTATTAAAATATACCAAAGATTAGGTTTGCTTCTTCACATGTTTAATTTTTATTCAGATTTCAGTAACGCTGATTGGCAATTTTGTATGCGAGTTGCATTACATGAAGCGAATTTTAACACCAACTTGGCGAACGTTAAAGAATAACTGCAGACCCACAGAATCATATCACAGCTTTCATGTTGGCGTACAAACAGGAGCAGGAGTAGGCCACTTTGTCACCCGTCCGGATGTTCCGCCATTCAATAAGATCAGGATTGATCCACACTCATCCAACTCGAACAACCTTACACCTCCTCGCTCATCAAAAATCTCTCTACGCCTTAAGAATATTCAAAGATTCTGGGACGACTTTTGTTTTGAGGGATAACATTTAGAAGATTCTCCTCCCCTCTGTCTTAAATTGTTTTCCAAGAGTGAATAAATGAGAAACAGGAAACCTACCAACATCCTCTCTAACGGTATTTCTTTACGAAGTTGCTCTATCTCCATTTTCAACCGATCTTTATCTGTTAGCTCATCCATTCTGGACGCTATCGTTTGTCTTAAATACAAACAAATAAACTTTTGTTCAGAATATTGTTAACATAATTGCTGCTTTGAAAACACTGAACAAAACTCCCGCCACACTGCAAATGAATGAATAACAATACAAGTCTAAGGGTTGGACGCGATTAGCTCACCTTGTCCTGGGCTAAAGTCAACTCATTCACTGGAGAGTTCGTGGGAGCGGCTCTCCAGCCACTGCTCACGTTAACTTTCCCAGTCCGCTTCCACCGCAGTGCAACCTTTTGTAATGCCCTCTAAAACAGGGCTCTTAATATCTCAATCTTCTAATGTGATTAAGTCAAAAGCTTGATCAGATTTACTCATTAAATAGAAGGGGAGAAAATCCTTGCCAAACATATTGTTCTAAAATTGTATACGCGGCTTTTAAAGGAAACAGTTTAAAAAAACACATATCCTTCCTTCGGTTCGTCAGCCTTCCTGTAAATACACATTTTGTTTATTTTAAAATTACATTTATTAATAAAGTGGATCATACTGACGTCAGTAGCAGTAAGCTGCAAAAGTCTGTTATCAGAGTATTTATCTCTTACACATCTGTTGGAGTGTGTCACCTACTGCACGCAGTCACTTATAATGACCACTTTTAATAATTCTCCTTCCTAACAGCGCTGAAGTTAATTTACAATTAATGTGTTCACATTAGTTCTGGATTTGTTTAACACGTGGACATCTTCATAATTTCTTAAAATGGGTGGATGTAATAGGTGGAAATGTTAACTCTGATTTTTTTCTTCACAGATGCGGCCAGACCTGCTGAGCTTTTCCAGCGACTTCGGTTTTTGTTCCAGGTTTACAGCATCCGCAGTTCTTTCGGTTTTTATGATGTAATAGGTTGATGTTTTTAAAAAACCCTGACTGTTCCAAGATGAAGTTTATCTTCTAATCAAACATTTGAAATGCAGTGTTATTCTGTAACAAGATATTTCCATGTGTTTACAGACTGCGGCAGGAGATAGGAAGTGTGGATCTAGCTGTCCCTGTTTTGTAAAATGGTCCACATTCAGGCACCAAATGGCGCCTGAATATCATCCAAACCAATATTTAGATTAGGCAATTTTTTCATGTGTCCCTGACAGCCACAAAAGGCTTGAAATATTCTTACAAAAGCAAACAGGGGCTGACTCTTGTTTTAGACCCATCCACTGAAATTCAATATGACAAAATCATCTGTAATCTTTCGGTAAACTCATTGGTGTAGCCAGGAGGCACAGGAATGTCCCACATCTCTCAGTATCTCAATCACACCTTCCCTCTTTGCTGCTCCACAAACCACCTTTTACAACCTGGAACTGAAACAGATTCCTCAAACTGGTACGGTCAGGTCCAAAGTTGTGGTTGACAGGGCACTCAGCTGTCTCTGTCCAATTTCCTCTGCATGTGCCCAAACCTCTTCCCCACATTCCCAGAACCACAATAGGATTCCCCATGACCTCATTTTCCACCTCACTACTCTGCACATTCAAATTATCATCCTTGGTCATTTCTGCCGCTTCCAATATTATGCTGCCACCAGATACATCTTCCCTTCGCTGTCGTCAGCATTTCGAAGGGACTGTTCCATCTGCAACACATTGGTCCATTCTTTAATCACCACCAACACCCATTCCCTTCCCTAAAACTTTCCCATGCAATCATAATGCTTACACTTCTGTCTCCTTTCTCTTTTTATCTATGGGTTCAACATCCAGGTAAAGCAGCAATTTACTTTCAATTTAATATTGCTATATTTGTTGCATACAATGTGGTCTCCTCAGCAGGGGGGAGATCAATCTCAGACTCAATGAATGGCATGCCAAACATCTGCAGTCAGACCATAAGTGCACTTTAATGAAGACCCTTTCCATTGATTCCTGCTTATTACTAAAAGTTCATATTTCCAAGTCGATAGGCTGTATGAGATCCTGACAGAGCAGCAGAACAGGACATAGCAGATTTGAAAAGGAGCCATCAACTGGCCTGAACCGTGCAGGCAGCAACTCAGATTTGGTTCCCATCTTGGTTTAGAAGGTAGGCTGTGCAGATATACACAAAAAAAAACACGAAATGTTCCTGTGCTGCAGCAAGAGTAGGTAAATAGAATGGCCTAAGACTCAACGCATCAGAGGAGGAACTTAAATTCTATCTCTCCTGCAAAGGAAATGCAAGTGAACTTGGAAGAGCCAGAGAATAGAAAATGTCTGTCCACCAAGCACCTCTGACTGCAGTGAGTGTTCCATCAGTGAGCTTTGTATAAAAGAACAGTGTATGATCAGTGAATGGAGATTAGTATGAGTTAAGATACAAATAGCAGCGATTAGGATGAACACATGTCATGGAGGGGAATATGTGGGATGGAACCAGGAGTTATTGAAACAGGTAAGTCTGAAAGTAACAAGAACATGGATAAGAGTGTCAGCAGCAGATAAGCGAAGGTGAAAGCAGAATATCTTTGTTACAAAGGGGATATGGTATCAGAAGCTGATCTGAGTGTAACCAAAGTTTGTTCAGCTGAAGCCAGTAGACAGAGTAAGGAAGAGAAAATCCTTGGCAAGGTAACAGAGTTTGTAACTGAGAAAGAGATTGTTTCAATTTTCTTAATATTTAATTAGACCATGGGGCCTGATGGGTTTAATCATGGTTGTGATCTGTACTCTAAACTCTAAATTGTGCCATAAAGGTTCTCTAGTCATGCATTCACAAGCAAGAATTAAAACCATCTTCTCTTCTAACCAATTTGAAGAAATTTATTACAATCCTTGAAATATGTTTCAAGAAAAAAAACCCAAATTTACTCTTCTTCATCATTATTCATGAAATATGTGCACATTAATCTTTTGAGATAAGATTGTAATTATTTTTTCTGAAATGAACTGTAAATTCTCCCCACAGTACACATATAAGTAGAGAGTTAATGCATCTTGTACTTCTGAATTTTTTTATAATGATGTTTCCTTTGTGAATTATGTTGACTGGTAGAAGTAGATATATTTTAACTTCGTAGTTATTGCTATTTGTTTTTACGTTACTACCTAGCTTCCTGTCATACTCTAAATTCTTCCTTTTGATTAATTTTGTCATTCTTTGCTGTACTTTACAGTCTAACCAATCTTTGGGCCTACCCAGTCAACTTTTCTCAAGAAGCATGACCACATCCACAAGCATCCACTCCCTTCAACACTGACACTCAGTAGCAGCAGTGTGTACTATCTATAACATGCATTGCAGAAATTCACCAAAGATCCTCAGACAGCACCTTCTAAGCACATGATCATTACCATCTAAAAGGACATGGGCAGCAGGTATACAGGAACACTACCACCTTACAAATTCCCCTCCAAGCCTCTCACCATCCAGACTTGGGTCATTGTTTTTTCGGTATTGCTGGGTCAAAATTCTGGAGCACGCTAATTAACAGCATTGAGGGTCTGCCAGCACCAAACAGAATGCAATGGCTCAAGAAGACAGTTCACCATCTTCTCAAGGGCAACTAGGCATAAGCAATAAATGTTGAACCAACTCGTAATGGCCACATTCTGTGAATGAATAAGAAACGTTGAAGAAGTAAGATGTGCCTATTTCCACAAGACAAAAAAGACCTTCAGAGATGCCTTGGATTCTTCAATTCTTGGCACCATACATCTTGAACTTTTCTGACAAGGTATGAACATTGAGAGCAATCCTAAAGGAAGACATACCACATGTATGGCCATCAATACATGTTTGAGGTTTGTAAACTAGCATTGTCAGCAGAAAACTGCACCCTGCAATACTGTGACCAAAGAAGAAGAGAATCTTGGAGTTTGGACTTGCAGAAAGGTCTAAGTGTTGCATCATGCAATCACAATGACAGTATCACAGAACTGTTATGGTGCAGTAGGAGGCTATTCAGTCCATCATACCTGTGCCAGCTCTATTACAAAATGTCAATCTCCTGCTTTTCCCCCATCTTGCTGCACTCCATTTCTATTCAATTAATCATTCAATGCCTTCTTTAATGCCTCAATTGAACCTGCCTCCTTCACACTTCCAGGCAATGCGATTCGCACCCTAGCTACTCGCTGTGTTAAAAAAAAGCCTTTTCTCACATTAAATAAAAACCAGAAGAACTGCGGATGCTGTAAATCAGGAACAAAAACTGAAGTTGCTGGAAAAGCTCAGCAGGTCGCGCAGCATCTGTGAAGGAAAAAACAGAGTTAACATTTTGGATCCAGTGACCCTTCCTCAGAAGTTCCAGAACTGAGGAAGGGCCACCGGACCCGAAACATTAACTCTGTTTTTTCCTTCACAGATGCTGCCAGACCTGCTGGATTTCTCCAGCAACGTCGATTTTTGTTCCTTTTCTCACATCACCCTTACTTTGTTTGCATGTCACTTTAAATCCGTGTCCTTTTCCTCTTTTTCTTTTAGGAGTGGGAACAGCTTCTCTCTATCTCATCTGTCCAGTTCACTCATGATTTTGAAAACCTGACACAAGTTGCTAAACTGATTGCATTTGCATCCAAAAATCTATCAGAAGTATCATCTAATTATTCCGACATATAGCTTGAAACACTTACTCTAGTATTCAATATCACAAGGTTTTTTATGTAGTTATTTGGTAAATAATTCACTGGGGAAATCAATCATAAACCATTCAAAATTATTTAGCACAAATCATTGACAAATGCATCATAGAGATCACAATGATTTCTGGTAAAATGGGATGTGACTTCAACATCTGTTACAAACCTGGTGCCAAATAGTCACCTTAGTTATACTGAGCAAAACAAGGAATCAGGCTTTCCACTGTATCTACCAGTCAACAGCAAGGGCATCAAGGTGGAAGATATACTCAAAACTGATCTATTGCATCTTGGTCAGAATAAATGCAATTAGTTTCAAACGGAGACAGCTAATGACTCATAATTCAAAGCCCTGTGGAAAGCTTTCCTTTAAAGGGTGGCTTCACATGATAAAAGGGGTGTCAGACACTCTCTATTCTTTTGGTCTTACAGAAATGAGCTCAGTATCTTGAGAGGCATTACCTTGAAAGCTAAACAAGTACTTATACCCAAAGCTCTCCACAGGACATAGAGCAGATGAGACTTGGCATGCAGTACGGTCAAATATAAAACAAAGACTGCGGATGCTGGAGATCCAAAACAAAGGCAGAAATTGCTGGCGAAACTCAACAGATCTGGCAGTATCCATGAGAAGAAAGCTGAGTTAATGTTTACAATCTGGTGAGTCTTCATCAGAACTGATAGCAGTGAGGAAAAATTAATATTTATGCTCGAAGGTGATTTTGGGGAAGTGGTGCGAGAAAGGGTAGATGTGAGTGGATAGATGGAGATGAAGCCCAGAGAGAGAGAGAGTTTC